GAACTTGCGGTCGGCTTGAAGGTAACCTTCCAATTGTAAATTTGAAAAATTTTATATAAAGTTATATTTCCTTTTCGTAATGTTATTAGTGAACCAAAATCTCGCTTTAAAAATAAAACCTACTCTCTAAAACCTATTTAAAATTGGATCAAGCAGTGAAAACCACTTTTAAATACCGGGAACAAGAACTGCCAGAAACATAGGGTTCAAAGTGTCATCGAATTTGTTGAGACAGTTAACAATGCTGCATCGAATGAAAACTAAGGCTTTCCACTTGCAACTTATTCAATGCACAAATGTTCAAATTATGCATAAATCCGTGCAATTTCCCATCTGGGCACTAGTTCCATTCCTGCTCCCTCAATCGGTAACGTTCGAACACCTGATCTCGAAACGTGATGCGCAGAGAGGAAGGAATGCGGCACTCAGTGTAATGTAAACCCCATTGCACCACTATGACGTTATTTCCCAAATAACTTCGTGTAGGCGCGATTATTATAAAGCTAGCTTTAAAATGTGAGCTATGCTTCGTCATGTGCTTCACCGAATGCGATATGTGAAGATGGTTTTTTTACATTTATCATGTTCTTTTATTTCTCTTCGATAAATAATTCCTGTATAAGATATCAAATGGCAGGTGTTTTGATAGTTATTATTAACCCTTTAGTTGACTCCAGGCTTCACAGAGAGAAAGGAACATCAAAGTGATAAAATAGTCGAAAGAGGGGGGAACAAATGAGTGTTTCAAAGATGTAAAAGAGACAGACAGACATAAAGGCATAGAAAAGGTAAGATGAGTACTGTGACAGGGGTCGAATATGACATAGAGTGGGGTCATGGTAATTTGAAGTCAAAAGTCAACTATAGACTATTTTGCCGTAAGAGTATACGTTGCCCAGGCTACGCCACGTGGAGGTAAGTCTATCGCACACTCTTCCCTGTGTAATATTTATTTATTCATATCAAATGGCAGGCTTTTGATGGTTATCATTAGCCCTTTAGTCGACTTCAGGCTTCACAGAGGAGAAGGAACATCAAAGTGAGAAAAATCGTGAAGGGGGAACAGAAGAGCGTTTTAAAGACGAAGGTAGAAAATTTAGAAAAAATGTGATGTGAGTACTGTGGAAGTAGTCGAATATGACATACAATGAGGTCAGAAGTCAACTGCCGGTTAAAAGACTTTTTTGCCGTATGTGTATACGTTGTCCAGGGTGAAACACGTGG